TTTTGGCCGAAATGGTCGGGTTTTAATAAGTATTTTGTGGTTTTGAGTAGTAATTTTTGCAAACTGACTGCCTGGTTTGCCATATTCATTGCTCGAAAAATTTCTACAAAATCAAATTTTGAAAAAAAAACGATTTTTCAGGTGTCGATCCACATTGTCTATTCTACCTCGCTACTTGGCACTTGCTCAAAACTCCCCGATTTTGAGGACAAATTATTCGATTGTAGACAGTTTAATAGTAAGTTAAACACTAGATTAAAGGGACTGGGAAGTGCTATAATCGACCCCCCATGGACTGGGTCTAGACAACTACGCGAAACACCAAATTACGCGTTTTTATTCGATCCGTGTTTCATCGTGTGAATTCAATTAATTCTGTTTCTGAAGCGAAAAAGAATTAAGTTCTGAATACATATTTGAAATGCCTTTCTTCAGTGTCGAATGTATTTTCCTATTTCCGCCCTCCATTCGGCATCTACCCAATAAATGTGATGCGAAATGTCGCGAGAATTGGATCGCTGACTGAGCTCCAATTTTGTAGGTTAATTACTTTAAATTTATGTTCACATTTTCAATTCTGGCAAACCGCCAGCCAGTTAAAAAACGCCTATTTTAGTAGCTGACATCGAGATGACGTTTTCACGGAATTTTGAAGCCCAGATTCGACCCGTGGCCAACGAATGGATGATGCAGGGAAATAGGACTGTTTTTATTATCCGGTAAGTTCCGATTCATCAAAAAAAAACAACCATTGCAGGCGATTTGAAGCTACCATATACCCAGATCCGCATATTCCAAAGGATATCCTGGCGTTGAGGGCTCGTTTCAGGCAGAAAACGTACGTTTTTGTAATCCTCGGTCCAGAAAAGCTGTCAAAAGTTTGGATACTTTACATCCATAAAAATTACGTTTTTAGTGCTACTTTCTTCCACCGTTTCTCATTCCCCGAGGGTCATTTTATCGAGGAACAGGGCGAATGGGTCGATGCTTCCATTGAAACACAGGAAATCGCTGTGAAACCGCATCGATACAGGTCAGAAGGGCCGATCCGCTTTTCTATTAACAATTTTCTCTGTATTTTTAGCCAATTATATATATTTTATAATTATATTATTCAATTATATTATTCATATTTTGAGTTTTAACAATTAAAAATTGTTAAATTTCGATAAGTTTTTAGAGGCGGCTTCTGGGAACCGCAGCCCCTTCTCCACAAATCAGCACCGCTATGCCATGAAAATGTGCCGACACGGCTGAGGGATATGCAATATTGCGTGGGGTTTTATCGGCTCTAAAGGAACTAGCAAATGCCAAACTCGGCCTCCTCCAATGCCTAGGTCTAGACAGCTACGCGATGCGCCTAATGACGCGTTCAACCTAATGGTTGATAGCGCGTAAGAATCCAGCTTGGACGCGTCTTTTGGCTTATTGCGTGCCTGTCGAGATCTAGCGAATGGAAGGGGTCGATTCTCGCGTAAACCAGAGCTTTTCTTTCAGATCTACGCCCTCTGCCGAGCGGGCTATCAATTCGCAGTCCCAACTCATGTTTTTAATGTTCATCCTGGAATTCGGAACACAACTTCACCACTTGATACGGCAATTCGGAATCATCAGAAACCACTCGGGTAGGTTGGAGCCACACGTGCCTCTCTCTCTATCTTTCTCTCTCTCTCTCTCTCTCTCTCTCTCTCTCTCTCTCGACTAAACTGTCACCGTTGATTTAAATTCATAGGAATCATTGTTTTTCAGCCTAGCCAGCGCCGAGGGTTTCCAAAAAGCGATGGATCTACAGTACCCAAATACCGGAAATTTATGCGGATCATTCTTGACACCATTCCATTTGGGACCCAGATCGGGGCCTCCGCCTCAAATTGGAGGAAATTGGGGACCGTCAATTTAGAGGAATCGCTGCTTGGATGGTCAGTTGCCATTTCAATTCAGCATTGTCAATCTGATACATCTAATAACGCCCCACATCTAACATTTCAGGAATGCGGCCACCACTTACCTCTTCAGCCGGAGAACTAGCGACAAATTCTGTGGCATTCTTTTTCCCAGTGATTCATCAGACCGCTTCTCTTTTACACTAACTCCCTGCTGTTGTGGCCGGGGGGAAGATAAAGCCTGTACCTTTATTTCAAGATTATCCCATTTCTCTATTTCATCTTTTCTCATCTCTCTTTCATTACTCAGTGGGCAGCTGTCCCTTTCGCAGCCCATCGTAAATGCCATAACTCTCTGCTACTTGGCCGAACGGACGCTCCTCTTTCCGATGGCGTTCGCAGATTTAGGATAAATTACAGGGCGTCCCAAAACAACACTTCCCTCCGACCCGACGCAGAAGTATCAGACCGCAACGATAGATACACCATTCGAAAGCCCTTGAAACGGCCAGTTTACAACAATCTGAAAACTGTCTTTTTATTTGGATGCGCTATTTTAAAAGCCGTTTTGATAAGATTTTGCGGTTGCATACGTGCTAACTTGCCGCAATTTCTCTCATCAAAATGACCGGGAGTAGCCGTTAATTAGATGTGGCACTCGTTCGTTAATGTTTTTAAATGCGTTGTCAAATGGCTGGTTGTATTAAAAACATGGTTTTGAAGATTGTTGCAAACTCGCCGTGTCAAGGGCTTTGCAATGGTATAACTGCCATTCCGATACTTTTGCGTAGAGTTAGAGGTAGATTGTTTATTGGAACACCCTGTACAGGTTTATAAAATTAAAATATGTTTTACTCATTTTTGAGCGTGCCGAAGGGGTCATTTGCATAATGTGCAGAAACTAGGCCGCTGGTTTCAAAATAATAAACAGCATGGATACACGATATACACCCACGATCCACGATATACAGTATGCCCTTGAGCAATTTTTGTGCTTCAGAAATGAGCCACGGAGGTCACGCTACCCAATCGGGCCGTTGACGCACGGTCTTTTACTAAAGTTATCATTAAATTCTTTAGCAATTCTAACGTGGAGATGACACTCGTTTCCTAATTTTCTGAATTTGTGATTGTAGCGTGTGAACGATGTGTACAATCTTCCCATAAGCTTTCAATGCACTAACTAGGAAAGTGCCTAAATTCATTTTTCCCTTTTGAGAAACGGGAAACCCTTCAAAACTACATGTTGCAATCAGCTACTAAAGCAGCAATGTTCTTGAAAAAACACCTCAAAGCAAAAACCGCATGAAATTTTTTTACAGCCCAATACAATCCAATGAAAAGGGATTTTTGGGGAAGTGCTCGTGTTATTTCTGCAGAATCCCGTTCTTCTACCGCACAACCGATCGTCAGAACTCGTTCGTTAAACCCATATTCTAGAATGTCGAGAATTCTGTTTTCCTGTAGACGTGCTTCACTGCTGTTTTTGGCCGTATATGTCGTTATTTTGACCTTATTCCAGGCAAGTTTTTTGTAGGATTTTAGATGAACTTTCGTTTCTGTCCCCTCGCAGGGGCAAGCTAGCAGAGATTTTGTGGAAACTCGCGCTCAATAAATGTATTTTATGATCTTTTTCATCCCAGATTTCGGTCTTCATTGAGTCTTCTCACACGTCTCACTCGTCATTTTTATTTATTTGGATCATTCGGGTTTTGGGAGGGTGGTCCTATCAGAAATCCATCGAGGAATTTTTGCTGGCTTTTTGGCCCGCAGAACCGCTTCAAATAATAATTTCCCTAGGCAGTTTGGCAATTTTCATTGCAGCAAAATTGCAGCACAAAAAAATGCCAACTTTTCAGATCTACCGTACTCAAAAATTATCGTATCTTAACCCAAATGGGGGTGCAGACGAGGTCAGATCTGGCTTCTGCGTTCACTATGATTTTGTAAAGGCCCGTTTCAGGTGTCGCAGTGCCCTTAAACTAAAAAAAATTCTTTAAATTCCAGTTTTTCAAGTGGCGAAGTACCTGTCTCTCTTTGTAGCCATGCCACCCCCAATTATCTGCCAGCCATTGCCCGCCAGGTAAAGAACAACGCATTCGATGACAACGCTCTCAAGGAGCCGTTTTGAGTGTCGTCCGGACTTCGGAATCGCGGGAAGCCTAACTTGTGTAGAATTTTGCGCTGATTCAGAATATGGTTACCGTGTTTGCGGAATAGGCAATTCTCGAAAGTGGTGAGCGATTTAAGGCGGAAAAGGGACAAGGCAGCAAAGTTTGATGGACGTAAGAAATTCCGCAATAGATTTCGGAAAAAAGCAGTTGGCGCGTCTTATTTAGGAAAAACTTTTATAATTAAGCTGCGTCATGAAAAAAATTTGTGCTAAAAATTGAGGATCTCCATGCTATGGAAAAAATTTTTGGAGACAAAATGCACGAGCTGGTTTTTTTAAAAAGCCTATTTCACGGGTCACATCCATCGAAAGTAGCGAATTTTTGGGTTTTTTTTTAAATCGTTTATAACTTTCGAGAAATGCCTATTCCTCAAAAACGGTAACCATATTCGGAATCAGCTCAAAAGTCTGCAAAATATAGACTTGGTCCGATTCCGATCCCGATCCGGCGCCTCCTTGTTAGTCAGAAATTTCACATCGCTAGCACCCGAAATGGAGACATCCCAGCGTGATATTTTTTGATTGAGACACTCTATGTAGTGCATGATCTAAATATTAGGTATCAGAATGGCGAGCCCCGATTTCGGTTAGCGTACTGATTGGTCCCGAAACGACGGAGTCGCTTTATGAAATCAGGCGGGCACATGTCTGCGATCCGAGTTTTGCGGAAATGGTCAGTTTTGAACGGACTCCTCCGTCATTAGATTTTTCTTTATACAAACTGACCTCCAGCGAACATTTTTTCAATAAGCACGAGCCATGAAACACATGAAAACAATCGCTATTCGCAAACTAAAATAATCGCGCAAACTCATGAAAATAATCGCTGCATTTTGGCAGAAACTCAAAAAATGTCAGGTTTCGATCCATGTCGTCTATGTAACTTCTCTGATGGGAACTTGCTCAACATTGCCAAATTTCGAGGATCGGCTGATTAATTGTACACACTTTAATAGTGAGTTTATGGGCCGTCGGGTTCTGATTCATTAGCGGGGGGACTCCTATAGAGCCTCCCCCGCTAACGAACAAGGACCGACGACTGGTAGGCAAAAAATAACTTCAGTTTCCAACGCCTTTTCCCGTTTCCGTGCTCCTTTCGGGATCTACCCGATAAATGTGATGCGAAATGTCGCCCGAATTGGGTCCAGAACTGAACTTCAATTTTGTAAACTTCATTGCCATATTCAACGACGTTTAATAGTGGCCGACATCGAAATGGAATTCTCGCGGAATTTTGAGTCGCAAATCCGTCCCGTTGCCAATGAATGGATAATGCTGGGGAATAAAACAGTTTTTATCATCAGGCAGGTTCACGATTAATCACAAAAAAAAACATCAAAAAATTTTATTTTTAAGGCAAGAAAAATTAGAATTTTCGTCATCAGGTTTTTCGACAGATGCCTGGAAAGATGTTGTAACTCTGACGCAAAGGAATACATTTTTAGACGTTTTGAAGCGGCCGTGAACCCAGAAGCACAGATTCCAAAAGACATCCACGGGTTGAGCGCTCGACTCCGGCAGAAGACGTGCGTAGTATTTGCGGAAGCGGGATAATTTTTTTCGACCCAAAATTACCAAAACTTCGGCTTTCTCAAACACTTTTCTAACTTTTTAAAAATTTTAATACAGAAGATGTTCTAAATACAGTTATTATTATTAAAACGAGTATTAAAAGATTTATGTGAGTACTAAGAAAACCTAGACCAATAAGAAACGTCTGTTAAGTTGATCACCTGGAAACAACCCACGCCGATTTTTTAGTGCCAATTTATTCCACGGTTTCACATTCCCGGAAGGCCATTTTATTGAGGAACAGGGCCAATGGGTCAATGTTTCGATTGAAACGCAGGAAATCTCGGTGAAACCCCATCGATACAGGTATCTTCCGGCATTATGACCATCCTTTGTTCCCTCTGATCAGAATGTATTGTTGTATCTTCCCTTCTCGTTGGCTTAGCTTAAGTTTTCGTGTTGCTTTCAGAGGTGCATACTGGGAGCCACAGCCCCTCCTCCATAAATCAGCCCCATTATGCTATGAAAATGTGCCAACGCGAGTGCGGGATATGCAATATTGCGTGGGCTTTTCCTGAACTTTTACGGACAGCTGCAATCGATTCTTATCAAGATGCCTAAATTCCTTGATGTTTCGTAACGATTTTTTTGCATAGGATTCGGGAGCTATCCGGGAAAATTTTGCTTGTAAATTTCGACATTATGAATTTCGACAGTTTGAAAGAAACCCGCTAAAGCCGACTGTATAATTTTGCTGTCACAGATCTACGCCCTCTGCCGTGCGGGCTATCAATTCGCGGTGCCATCCCACATGTTCAATGTCCATCCCGGGATCAGGAAGACGACTTCATCACTTGATGCGGCTATAGCAAACCATCAAAAGCCACTCGGGTGATCCACCGCGGAAAGATTTTGAATTCTATTTCAGGCCGCCGAGTGTCGATGGCTTTCAGAAAGTGATGGATCTACAGTATCCCGAAACCGGCGATAGATGCGGATCATTTTTGAAGCCGTTGCGCTTGCCACTGAAACCATAGCCACCTCGAAAAAATTGGAGGAAGTCGGGGACTGTCACTCTAAAAGCATCCTTTTATGTCACCTTCATCTATCAGCACAACTAATTTTTACGTTGTTTATATAATGCCAATGCAACATCTTCTCAGCCCTTACACTTACCTCTTCAGTTCGGGGGCAAAGTACAGAGTCCTTGGCGTGTTAAGGCAGTTATGATTTGTCAGGTATGATTGTTCTGCTATATTTTGTGTTTTGCCTCTGTCAAAAAAAAGATTGTACTATGTATTCTGAATAATCTCGTCGATGCCCTAGGGGTATACAGAATATTCAACAAGCCCAAGAGGAGAGGAAAGAGAGGGTGGGTGACGTTGAGCAATTCTCCTCCTCGGACATGAGACACGGAAGTCACGTCGTCTTCTAAAAGGAACTTTAAGAGAGAGCGCAAGGGATAGAGAGAGGGAAAGAGAGAGCGCGAGAGAGGGAGAGGGAGAGAGAGTGAGCGAGTGATAGAGAGCAGGTTTTAGCCCAAAACCTATCATTTCCGGCCCGCCAGCTAACCGGAACTTCCTAGATTTAACCGGAAATAGGTTTTCTGACGTGCAGTTTAGAAGCAGGAGAGGGAGAGAAGGCGAGAGAGTAAAGAAAAATTTTCGAACTCCACGAACTGAGGAATCGAGTTTTTCAGTTTTTTTATAAACCCTTGCGAACAACAAAATTCGAGCTAGAGAGCGAGAGAGTGATAGAGCCAGAGAGAGAGAGAGAGAGAGAGAGAGAGAGAGGGCGAGAGACAAAGATACCTACTTTCCGAGCAGCTAATCACATTCCAAGCCTGCAAACTCCCCAAACCTGAAAAAAGGTTTTATTTCCGTAACCTCCTCTGCAATTCACTTACCTACTCGAGACGTCACTGAATGGTTGAAATTCAACGGGAAGACATTCTGTCGAAAGCGGAATCGAAAAAATCCTTCAAGGAGAAAAGGGGAAAACGATTCCGGGGCAACCGGGGATTGGAGGTTGATTCGGTCTCTTCTCTGCGCCCTAAGCCCCGCCCCTTTTCCCTAGGGGTCTCTGCCCCGGTGTGCATTCTGTCTTCTGTCTATCATAATCCCTTTAGAGACCCAATCTACCCTCGAGAAAGACGAAACCATCGGAATTCAATTCTTTCCCCTTCCTCCCACATAGATTTCGACCTATTTTAGAGTTTCGAACCCGGTTTGGATTCAGTTTTGGTCGAAACTAGACAGTTTCCTGGGTCTTGGTTTTCAGATTTATTTTATCTGGCGCACAAACTATCTACTATTCCCCTAAAAATGCAGATTTCGAAAATTTTCAGGATTGGGTATTACGGTTGCTTGAGCGCGGCTCCTACTGTCTTTATCTTTTTTTTGTAAAAACAGATCGTTGTCTTGGTTTTTTTAGAGCCATTCTAGCGGGCGCTCAACCCACCTTTTGACACCTTTAAAGAGTTAGACTTTAAAAATTTTAAAGATAGAAGTATTACGGTAGCTGGGCTGACTGCCCTACTGATATGACCTCTTTCATTGTGTTTTTCGTATTTTTTGTACATTGTCTTAGCCATTGCCAGGCAGTTAAGTCAGCCGTTCCAATTTAATCTATATGAGACTTAAAATTCTCTCAAATTCCGTTGGACACCAAAAAACGCCGCTGAAAAACGATCCCCTATGCTCTTGCATGCGAATTTGCCTCGTTTGGCCTTTGGCTATGATTCTGATTGCAGCAGGCTGGAGGAGGATCGACTGAATTAAATACCAGACCAAGGAACGTCGAATTCGACGATTTTTGCTCTATTTCTCTGATTTTTTGGCGTCCTCTCAACTCTCTGTCTTTCTGGCATTCCATGGAAATTTATCCCTTTTTCTATCTGTAAAATGGATGTTTCAGTAAATTTCTACCATTCGCTGTGTGCCAAACAAACTGTCCGTTTGTCTCTCTCTATCTCTCTCTCTCTCTCTCTCTCTCTGCCTCTTTCTCTCTCTCTCTCTCTCTCTCTCTCTCTTTCTCTTCTCCTGTCTTCTCCGTGTTAATTAGATTTGAAATTAGCATTTCAAATCAACTACGCATCCACCTCGGTCTCGCTCAATTTGTCTCGTTGATTCCAAAGGGTTTCAGTGTTCTTTGAACCATCTCTATTCGACCCCTAATTTCCTCCGCTCTTTTACTTGAAAAATCTTTAAACTGACAAACAGTTGATGTCACTATACCTTTAAAAGAACGGTATGTTCGTTGGTTCCTAAAAAATACTAATGACGGCACCCACGACCGCTCAACGGGACACCTAAATTTAATTTCTATTTTAAAGGCCCTTCCCAACCCCCTTGCCTAGTGGGAAATGAGGTATATTTTGGTGTCTTCCTCTTCCTCTTGAGAAGAGCACATAACTCTATTTCCTTCCAAAATATTTTCAACCGCCTCCACAAATGTCATTTTTCCAGAAAATCCCTCGCTTCCAGGTGGAAGTAAATTTGCCAAGTCTAAAACCGGCATCGAAATATGATAGAAAATTTGTCTAGGAAATTTAAATTATATGAATACGAGGCATTTCAGCTTAGAAAGCTTAGCTTCTTTTACGACCCCGAAAATAAGGATGTACACGGGCTTTTTGTGTATTTGTGCGCGACGTCAGCCAGCCTGTCGAATGCTATCACATTGGAGGCCCTTCTCGTCCTTTCCCGAATCCTCTCCTTAATGCACAAATTACCCCCGTCTAAAGAGCCCCTGGAAGGGACGAGGGAAGAGAGGATAATTGCGCTAGCCGTAGCTGTGGCTCAGGGTTGTTGAATTTAGGATATCAGGAGGAAAGGATACACATCGCCAGGATTTACCTTAACGATTTTAGATTTTGATGGAGGTTCTAGCCTTTATTGATGTGCGCAGAACATAATTTTTGGACATGTTGAGCGATTCGCAAAAAAATCACGGCTGGCTTTAACGACAAATTTTAATGATTTTTACAGGACGTTCCTTTCCTAGATACTTTCCGCAAAGAATTGCTGCTAGCCTGCCTACAGAAAAATCGGATGCCCCAGAGATGCATTCCGTCAAGTAACACTGCCAGTTGCTTTTTGAAAAATCCGGATTTGAGGATTATTTCCGCAAGGAAGTCTACTAGCCTCCCCCTGAAAACAATCTAGGTCCTAGGCATCGATGAGATCCTCCACTAGGAATCGCCGCCCGGCCACAAAAAAAAACCTATGCTCCGCTGTTCTGTCTGGCAGTTCATTGAAACATTTTTCTCAATTGATCGCCGGCTTGCCTTCAAAATTTATCTTGCTAAACGCGAGTGAGCCTTCAAGGGGGCTTTTATGATTCCCCCCCCGCCAATAATCCCTAATTTTTAAAATAACATTTTGCAGGCACCCCAGCCACTCCTTGGCCCCTCCCCCATCACTCTCCATCCACCAATCCCCCACCAGAATGCAAGCAAAAGCATTATTCCTCGTCGTTCTCATGCTCATCTTCTCCCTTCTACACGGTAAGTTAAACCGATTTAATTTCTATGAAATCTATAAAAACTTAAACATATTTTTCACTTGAAAACTAGGCAATTTTAAAATTCGGCATTAAACGCCAAGTTTCGGAAATGTTTCGAATCTGAAAATTCGGCATTTTTAGGTGTCGCGCTCCATTTAAAATCTACAAAATATTTAAATTTGTAGCCTTCCCCCAATACGCGTCAGACGATGATGCGGCACAATTGGTTGGCCAATCCGATCTTCATGGATTTTACCCGGTCGCTTCCGAGGGCAGGTAGTCATTTTTTCACCGGATCTCTATCCAAAAAACCAAACTGAACTCCATTCTTTCCACTTGACATCTACCCCAAACCTTTTGATTGCGTAATCTGATAGCCGGGGAACAAAAATCCGGAAACCCCCCGTTTGGATTGGTCTTTCTGTGCCCATTTTCGTTGGATTGACCCGAGAGTCAGATTTCAGCTAGACCAAATGGACCTGTTTCTGTCTCGGGAAAATTCGACTAGGCAAAGACGTTCATGCTTCGAAATTTTCATGGAAAAACTCGCAAAAAGGAAGTTAAATTTGGGTCACACAAAGCATGGCAAAGCTGCTAAATTATGTAAAGTCCTCCGACAAAGGCTAAAAATTGCAGGCACAAGCTGCGAAACGCTTTCCAGTAAGCAACAAAAAAAGAAAATTCTAGAAAATGCAGCATCTTAGAAAATGCATGGAATGCAAATTAGCCTTGTAGTTAGCTACGCTGCGATCCAAATGACACGTTTGTCAAAATCCATAGGCGTTGGCGCCGGTTAGGGTAGCCATAACAACGCGACCAGACGTCTTATTTGTCGTACGTATCGCAGCGTAGTGTCGCGTAGCTGTCTAGACCTAGTCACTCCAGAAGAGTTAATTTTGGCGCACCCAGTTCCTTTAAAAATTCGTAAAATTGCACCAATATCGGGATTCTGGTTTTTTTCAGTGACGGCCGCCTGAAACGGGCAATGTTCGTGGCTCGTATCGGGAAAAGAGTCGTCAAGAGACCATCATATTATGCGGCTAGAATTGGCAAGTAACCAATTTATCTCCATCAATCAATACAATCGATCGATATTTTCCATCTGTCTTTTTCTCTGCCCTCTCTTCATTCTCCCGACTCTCTCGTCGCTAGCCCCCATATTCGAAGGTGTTTTTTCAGTCAATAAAAGTGCCAAGTGTTTATCTAAACGGCAAAAATACCCGGATATTCCGAAAAATACAGGAAACACATAAAAATACAAAAAATAGCATAAAATTTTGGGAATTTAATCGATTACCAGGGTTCAAAAGCCGCTTCGCGACTTTTCAACCCTGGCCCCGTCTAACCCCATTTTATCATGCACTTTGCATAATTGTCCTGAATTCAGATGACAAAAATGAAAAACAACCTCTGCTGTCCATTTATATCGTCGAATCCCAACTTCCGGTCTATGCTAATTATTCCTAACAAAGAAGTTTTCACAAAACTTAAATTTAATATCGAAAATGGCTGATTTTGTAAAATTTGATATGTGTGCAGTCATCTCAAGACGATTGCGCATCTAATGACGTATCAAACATACCCGTAACTTCATCCTCTATCGAGATATCCTCCGGACAGACAGACGGAAGTGGATGCAAAGTGGCACACACACACAGACACACACACAGACACTATTTTTTTATATATAGTAGGATGGCATGAAATGATAGTTTAGAAAGCAGAAAAACACTTCTAAATACAAAAACTCGCTCGATTACTGCATGAAATTAAAGTTTTGGCAGCTGAAAAACCATTTCCATACAAAATGGAACCGATTAGGTTATAAAATAGTTTTCACGGTGTCAGCAGTATCCACACGTCTTCCGGCAGTGTTTCTTGAGAACGTCGCGGAAATTCGACTTCTGGCACTGTTCGACGAAGAATTTGCATGAGATTTTCTGAACAAATTATTTGCAGATTTTAAAGGGGCTGTGAAGTCAAATTTTTACGAATTTTTGGCTTTTTTGGGCCTGCTGGAAATCAAATGGTCTCTGCTAGTTTGCCCCACTGGGTGAATTCCAGAAATTTCGAAGATTTTCTAAATGGTCCCTGCTACCCTAATCCAAAGGCCGTCTGCTGGCTAATGCAAACCAGCCGAGATCCTTGGAGAAGATCAAGAAATTTTGATTCTTTGGTTCCTAAATGATATCTGCTAGCTTGCCCTTTCCCTCTAAACTTAAATTTTGCTCACCAAATCCTCGCATTCCACATCATTTCCATCCTTTTCCGCTTCCTCAATGACCACTTTCGGTTTCTTCACTTCCTCCTTGATGGTGTGCTCTTTCTGGGGGCTTTTCGGGATCTCAACCAATTTCGTCGTCTTCTCCATCTCTTTACAGTATCCACATGTCAACGCGCAATAGTTCTCCATCAACGCTTTGTACGCGGGAGAGTCGCATTTTCCTGCAAATGAGAAAATTGCCGCGATTTTTGTGGAAATCAGCTAACTGTCAGTCAAAAAACTAGAAAAACTCATTGAAAATTTGTCAACTGCAATACTTTTTGATTTTCAGGACAAAATTAGGTTAACTGCCATTCAGTTACTCCATTAAAATAGCTAGTCTCTGATTTTCCCAAAATTTTCCAGATTTTTATGGAAATTAGCTGATTGTCTACCAGATAACTAGAGAATCAATTCAGGTTGTTAACATTTGCGCAGTTTTCGGATTTTTGACTGAAATATTCCTAACTGTCATTCGATACCGCCATCAAAATCATTAATACCAACCGGCCTCCTTGAAATCGTGACAATTCGAAGTTCTATCGAAGCATTGGGCAGAGGGTACGGTAGTATCCTCTTTTCCGACATCTTGGGGCTTTTTCTGGACACCTGAAAGGGAATAGATAGAAGAGAGGGAGAGAAAGAGAGAGAGAGAGAGAGAGAGAGAGAGAGAGAGATAGAGAAAGGCAGAGAAACGTAGAATGCACCCGAAAGCCATTATCCGCCCACTCACCGGATTCGGGATTCACTGGAGAAATAGGGGAAGGGCATTTCCCCAGACGATTCAACTTTCGAATGTCTGTTGGGGAGAAGGCCATGTTGTCACCCAGAGAGACGCCTGCCTGAAAATAGGGGATTCAGAGTTTGTAGTCTTTAATTCGAAGCATGTAGTCTGTAGTTTCCTGTTTGCAAGGCAGCTTTGTTTAAAGGGGTTCACAAGGCAAAAATATTTTTGACTCGGCTCCTGACGGGTTTGCAGCCTGTAGTTTTGCCGCCTGGCGGTCAGATGGTGGAAAGTTGTCGTCTGCAGTCTGTAGTTTCAATTTTGGCACGCGAGAATGCGTTTTTTTAAGGAGTTCGCAAGGCAAAAAATCGTCTTCACCAGAGTTTGGAGTTTTTTGTAGTCTGGCGATCAGAATACGAAATATTGTAGTTTGTAGCCTTTAGTTTGGCTTTTTGCCAGCCAGAGTGGCCATGGTCGAGGTCTTGAGGCAGAAAAAATCGATAAATTTACCTTTTTCGGAACCATCGTAGCCAATCGTACTTTCCTCTTCTCATCCAACTTTCCGAAAGCATACGAATCGTAGTGCATCAGCGACTACAAAAATTGGGTTAAAGCTAATTAAATTTAAGCTCCCAAAAATTTGGATTTCGTTACTCACCGAATAATCATATTTATCCGGGTAGTCGACTTCATTTGCGCGGATCTTCTCGAAATTCACTGAAAATATGGAGTCTAAGAGTTGGAGAGCTACAGTATACCCATTTGTGCGGGGATCACATTTTCATATTTGACCGTTAAATGATTGTCTCGATCCGGTCGCTGATGCTCATGCTCGAAACCGATTGCGTGCATCATCTGAAAAATCGAAAAGGTCATCAAAAAAGTATCTGATTTTGGATTCAAATCAATTAATTATTATTACCGCTCTTTTGAAAATTCCGGCAATCGATTTCGACGGACCTTAAAAAGCTACAGCCTACCTCATGCCAGATAATAAAATCAGCCAGGCAATCCGGAGACAGAGACATCAGCTGGCCACCTCCTAAAAATCTATTTTGCAATTTTCTTCCGCTTTTCAACGACGAGAAAACCCGAGAATCGACCCTTTCGATCGACTAGGTCTAGACAGCTATGTGACGCGCCAAATCCCATCTACACAAGAACTCAATTTCTTGCCGCCAGTACCATAAAAATTTGTTTGAACGCGTCATTTGGCGTGTATCTGCCTAGACCTAGCCGATTCTTCGGGTCGACTACCGCGCTTCACAATCCCTGCAAAGTTTCAACTCACCAATCCTCCCAACATACGAATAGCATCCATCTAACGGCACGATGAAGACGTAATCCTTTTCCGATTTTCTTTCCACGAATCGGAAGCAAGAAATCTTTTCCATGCCGCGAAGAGACGAGCGGATGATTTGTTTCCTGAAATAACCGATTAGGAAATGAATTTGGTTGGAAAAGGGCTTAAAACGAGGTTTCAATGATTTTTTTCCTGAAATATTCGATTATGCTAGGTAATTATGAAGGAAAATGTCTTGAAAAACGAAAAACGTTTTCTCGTGAAACACGTACTGTTGTGAGGTGTACTGCGGACTGACGGCATACGGTACAATATTATTGATCCATCTGTTGTGGGCGGATTCCTTCCGAGACACTCCTCTCACCAGAAGACTCCCATTTTCGATATAGCGGGCCAGCTGGGGCGGGGTTAGCACTGGAAATTGGGTAATAAACTCATACTATTTTTGAAGAGCTTTAAGAGCGAAAAAATCACTTTTATAAAAAATTTGCCTAAAACCCCAAAAAGAATCCAAGAAAAAAACTGAAACTATAAAAATGCCATTTTTCACCTAGGACCTTGAATATCGAAAAATCAATCTTCAAAAATTCACGATTTTTTATATTAATGTATGTAAACCATTAACTGGCTACCAGACAAATATTTGATAGAACCAAAACAAAGAAAAGTATTTCCAGAGCTACCGTAGCCCCCTTACCCATATCTCCAAACATCGCTCCATTTCTGTCATGCCGCTCGTTGATTTCCCATGATTGCAATGCAACAGAAAATGGGAATATAAAAAGTAACGAATATAATAGATATTCCATCTGTTTTTCTGTCTGTCAGAAGAGCCGTTCGTCCAACTGACCGCCCCCAATTTCCCTTTATAACGACTCCAAGCCCCAAAAGCTGCTCAAATAATGCCCGGCCGCCGAAAATCATCATTGTCTCTGTCTGTCTGTGGATAGCCGTTCTGAAATAAGCCATCCAAAATGCCTTGGGGCAATGAGGAACTAACAAATCAGACGGCCACGCTAAATTGACTGACTGGAAATGGGCAAAATGGAAACATCATAACAAAAACGAGCTTTTAAAGGACTTGTGAAGTTAAAAAAAAAATCGAAAAATGGAATAATCTGTCTCATTTTAATCATACAATCTAGCAGAGACGCTTTAGGACGGTGTACCAGCAACAAATGATAATTTTTAAGGGATTCTGAGGCCAGAAAAGCGAATTGTCGGCCGTTTTTAGTTCAGGGTTTTTAGTTCGGTTCCGGAATTACTGCTGGAGCTAATTTGCTGGGCGAGCAAGCAGAGATCCCTGTGGAGTTCTGGAGACCAAATCGCAACCAAGAAGTTTTAAAAACTGGAAACCGGAAGCTGGCTAGCAGAGAGCATTTAGGAAACCGGCTTGTGCCAGCCATTTCCCTGAATTTCCTGTGATGCAGTTTGTGTGTTGATCCCTGCCAAAAACCATCCCGTAACCATTGTTTGTCCTGAATATTTTTAATTACTTTTTATTCCGGTTCCAGTGCACTTGGCGATGAGTTCTTCTTTTGCACGAATGATAAAGAATCCCCTCTCTTCCATCATTAGGTGTATTTCGTAGTCTGCCCCTATCCAGCACCGATAAATGATGTCCCTTTCCCCCATTTGGATGCCCCTTATCAGACAAAACTACACGACTGCCAGGAGTCCACATCCTTTCGCTCGTATTTTTCAGCTTTCTCAGTTATCACCAGTATTATTATGGCTTTTATTTTATATGAATTTAATATTGAAAATTCATTAAAACCTGTAAAACCCGCGAAAAACTCAGAATTTTTGTTGCTCTCGATTTTATGAGTCTCGCCAGCCCTTCAGTCGTAATTTTTGGGTCCTTTTGGCTACCGGTTAAGCTATTCATACCGCTAGAGAGTTTTTAATTCCTTCTTTTTCCAGAAATCAGAATGGATGTGAATTCACATATCTCGGCCGAGGGGGACAATCAGGATTTGACAGAGGAAAGGGGAAGAGGGGATTTCTCAACAGAAGAAATGGCTCGACTCGTTTATGGAAGACAACTGGCTGAGAAGAGGAGGAAAATCACCGAATATGTCCAGAGGAATCCTGTGTAATTTTTTAATTAAACACCAAAAGCGTCATTTTGCAAATTTAAATTAAAGCTATCGTTTAATCCTTTAAAAATCCTACCTTATATAATTTTGGCGCGTATGTGTGTGTGTGTGTGTGTGTGTGTGTGTGTGTGTGTGTGTGTGTGTGTGTGTGTGTGTGTGTGTGTGTGTGTGTGTGTGTGTGGATGTCACTTTCGAGGCCCGATTTGAGGGCCTTCCCGTGCATAAAATGCCCTAATTCTTCGCCACCCGGGGGAATCGACCCTCCTCTTTCCGATGGCGCTTTCAGAATCCCGATAAAATACAAGTTTACAAAGTTAAAGCCGGTTTTATTCATTTTTGGGGGTCCCTGAGGGTTAATTTGCATAATGCGGAAAATTACAAATTTCCTCATTCTTGCCAGTTGCACTCGCGTGTGTGGCCGGTAGGGGAAGGGGTCCGAAGGACCCGAGCTATCGGGAAGTCAAATTTTTCATGCAAATGCCGCATTCCAGCGCCCAAGGCCCGCGAAGCGGGTTTTGGGCGCTGGTCTTAAATAATATGTGCACAATTTGTATTAAAATCAAGTCTAGATTACATGACGCTGGCGAGCAGGCATTTATGACAAGGGAACAGAAATATGATGATGCTGCTAGAAAGGTGAGAGGGAGAGAGAAAGAGAGCGAGAGAGAGCGAGAGAGTGAGAGGGAGAGAGAAATCGCTAAAAACTCCAAAATGCATTCCAGACCTCGGAAATCTTCCGTCGTCTCGAAGAGTTTGGAACGTATCCTGGAGAGGAGTCATTTGCCCATGTCATCAAGTGCGTTTTAAAGGGATTTGAAAGCCAAAATCTGCCTTTTTCCATGCCAAGCCCTAAACTGAGATCCATTTGGCAATCCACCAAAAAATCGGCTTAACCGGACACTTTATCGATTCGTGGCGTAATCGGTTAAGCCTCGTATATTTTAGTGAGGTAATCGGAATCGATGGCTACCCCCTAGCCCTCCAACATGTCATGTTTCTGCCGGCACTCCTTGGCCAGGGTGATGAGCAACTAAAAGGTATGCTCGATCAATTTTTGACACTACGAAATCCACCAAATTACAGCCAAATACGCAGCCCGAGCGCAACGCGGGGAGATTATCGGAACGTACGCGCAGACCGAGATGGGACATGGTACTGTATTTTGTTAAATACGGCATTTTGAAAAGCGCAGGATTTTCTTAAAATATAAAACTAAAATATTTACATTACGCCGTACCGTAAAATCAAAAAAATGATATTTTTAAGAAATTGGATTTTTATAGTAATTTGAATAGCATTTTTAATCGATTTTCAAGCTTGATTTTTATGAAAACTCAGGTTAAAACATTACACTGTACGCCATAGCGTAATCTTAAAATTAATTCCGCTTTTTCCAGGCACAAATCTGCGTGCCCTCGAGACGACAGCCCATTACGATAAGAAAACGCAGGAATTTGTGATCCATTCCCCCACTACCTCTTCCATTAAGTGGTTAGTTATATAAGCTGGACCCCAATTAATCGAATTTTGATGGTTTTAAAGTATTTTGGAACCTAATATTTAAAATCTTGATATTTTTAGGTGGCCCGGAAACTTGGGAAAATCGTCGAGCTATGCAATTGTGGCCGCCCAGCTCCATATTGACGGCAAAGCGATCGGGCCGCATAATTTTTTGGTGCAATTGAGATGTGAAAAGACGCATCAGCCGTTGAAAGGTAAGTGTTAGTGATTAAAATAACTGTTTTTGCGCTTTTTGCCAGTCATTTGAGCATTTTATGACACTAAAAAACGTAAAAGGCTTATTTTTTTACTGATTTAGATATTTTTAAACGTTATTTTTAGTATGATAAATCAATCTGGCAGCCTCTTTAATTTTATAAGTTTTGCCGTCATTTATCGACTTTTAGGAATTCTCGTCGGAGATATCGGCCCTAAAATCAGCTACAACACGACGGATAACGGGTTTTTAAAATTGGACCATGTGAGGATACCTAGAGAGCAAATGCTGATGAAACACGCCAAGGTGATTTCTCAGGAAAATCCAGGAAAATCGATGTTTAGGTACTTCCAGACGGTACGTACGTGAAGCCACCGCACGCCAAGATTGGCTACGGCGCTATGGTGCATGTCAGGTAGGTGAAATTTGCGATATTTGGCAAACTAGGCATTTCTGAAGCTATTTTTTATGTAGTATTTTGTAAACTTACTAGAATTTAGCGTATTCAAACGAAAACTCACATGATTTTTCGTATTTTCCAGATCTCACATGATCCGCGCGCAGGCCCATATGTTGGCGATGGCCATCACAATTGCCATCAGATATTCGGCGATCAGAAGGCAAGGAGAGATCAGGAATGGGTATGTTTTCGTACAATTCATCCAAAAATCGCTTTATCGTCACGAAATTTGGTTTTGGTCAATTTTATGAAAATTAGTCTCTCGAGCCTTGAAAATCTGTTTTTCTTTTTTTAATGCTTGTAAATTGGCCGATTCACAGCCAATAGACTTTCGTTTTTTTATTGGCTTTTAACCCTCGCTAAAATACAATCTGCCCTACAAACTACAATTCCCAGTGGCGGTGAGGTCAAAATTCTGGACTACCAAACACAACAACACCGTCTATTCCCGCAACTCGCCCGCACTTATGCCTATTTCTTTGCTGGAGCTGAAGTCGTGGCGCTTTACCAGAAAACACTCGAGAAAATCGATGAGGGAGATGTAAGAAAAACTTCTAAAAACGCACAATCATTTTAGGTAACGCTTATGACGGATCTGCACGCCGTCACCTCGGGGATGAAGGCTGTCGTTTCGTTTGAGGTATGAAAAAGATCTAAAAATTTTCAGCAGGTTTTCTGGCTATCAAAATCCGGTAAACCTTCGAAAATATGGCATTTCTAGACCGGAAACGCTATCGAGCAGTGCCGAATGGCTTGCGGAGGCCATGGATACAGCGCGGCCAGCCGTTTTCCAGAGATTTACGGTAAATTTTGTGCTTTTCTCTATTTATTTGGCTAGAAAAACGAGTTTTTAAACGTTTGGAATACAGTAGACATTTTACCAGATAATATTTGGCTTTAAAATACCTTATTTAGGTGTGCAAATCGGCGGTTGCACGTACGAGGGCGAGAATATGGTGATGCTCCTTCAGCTGGCGAGATATTTGATGAAAGCCGCCGATCAATGCCAGGGAGGACAGAAGCTGTCGCCACTTTTGGAGTATTTGAAGGGGAAGGAGAAGAAGTCGAGGTTGTCGGATGCCGAGGATAGGGAGAAACTCGTCAAGGTTAGTCGTTTTATCTAGAAAAATTCATTTTCAAAATTAATGCCTTTTTGAGCCGTGATTAGGCGCATAACGCTTTCAAGCATACCTATTTTTGCACAAGGGCAAGCTTTAAAACCCCTAAAAATACCTCTATTTTCAGGCATTCGAGTACGTCTCCCGTTCGGTCGTCTTCCGCGCCCACGAACGGCTAGCCGCGCTCCAGAAAAGTGGAATGTCTGCGGAAGCTGCTTGGCAGGTAAAACCTATGTCTGATCTATCCGAAATTCGAATTTTAAGACCTTTTAGACCCTAACAACTCGATTTCTAGGCGAACGCGGTCGAGATGACGCGTGCTTCTCGTGCTCACACGCGCCTCTTCATCGCGCAGGCCTTCCATCAGAAAGTGTTGAGCGTGAAGACGGCCGACAGGAAGATCAACAACGTCTTGGATCAATTGTGCGCGCTATTCCTGAATTATGAACTTCTTGATATGAGCCATTATCTCTTGGAGGTTCGTTTAACGCTAAAAGCCGTTGAAATTTACTAAAGACGTCTGTTTTTTTTAGTTTAAAGTATGGAAATTTGATTAAAAAAGGCAATAACAAATTTAGAAACCGTTAAACTTAATTCAGGACCAATACATGACGACAAAACAAATCGGCATCATTCGCGAGAATGTCTATCGTCTGCTGAAGGATTTGAGACCGAATGTCGTCTCGCTGGTATAGAAAAGCCTAGAAACTCGAATGCAAAACAATTCAGGTGGATTCGTTCGAAATTTCGGACCGTGAGCTGCGCAGCGTGCTCGGACGGCGTGACGGAAATGTCTATGACAATTTGTTGAAATGGGCACAGTCGAACCCGCTCAACAAAGAGGATGTGAGTCATCAAAAGGCCTGAACAGCCCAGATTTTAAAAAATTGAAAGCTTTAACAAACCAAAATAATTCTAGAGGTATGAAAAACTTTTTAATACTTTAAAAACATTAACTACTATAGAAAAACTTGAACAAAAACCCTTAAAAAAAACTTAATAAACCACTCCAGGTGCTGCCCGGCTTCAAGACCAGCCTGCAGCCAATGATGGCCAGGGCTCGTGAGGCGAGCAAGCTTTGAATTCGAAGTATAGAACCCGTAAAAATAATGTGAATAAAGTTTATACCTACGGAAAACTCAAAACCAATCAAAATTGACAAACATAACAACGTCACAAAAAGAAATGGCAAATCACAGGGAAATTTTTGCAAAATGGGCCTTCACAAGTTCGAGGGCGCGCCCGCGATGGCTGATCTGATTCTTGATGGTCTTGTCCATTTCGGCGTACGTCTCCTCGTAGCCGTCCGGCTGAAAATAATGGTTCAACAAGCTGTAAAGCTAGAAGGTCCGGTTGTTTGGCATTCTCGAGTGAGGGGAATTTTTCCTAGAAGCCCAGAAATGCCTAGTAACGTTAAAGGAAGTGTTTCTTAGGGTTTTTATTAAAATTTAGCTATATTGAAGTGGAAAATTATCTAAAAAAATTTAGAACATTTTAAATGTTTGTAATGCGAAATTTAAATTTAAAAGTTGGAACTTTTAAGTCGAAAAATCTATATATTTTGAATTTTCTAAGCAAAATTTGTAAAGTTTTTACGTTTAGGAATCGTAAAAAAGTTTAGAAACACTTACCGTATTCATAATAGAAAAATCAGATTTAATAAGAAAAGTTGGTCCCCCGATAATGCCAAAGAACCTAATCTTCAAATGGGACAAATCGAATGCTCAATAATCACCTGAAAACACGGATCCCATCCGAAATCCCTGGGTCCTCGCGGCTCAACAATTTTTCCGGGGCATCTGCCTAAAAATAGCGCCGCTAATAAACTTAGCCAATTCATTCACCGTCAAAAATGTGCACTTCTCGTCCGATTCCCTCGCAGTAGGCGAACACACATTGCGCATAGGCTGATTTGTCCTGAAAAAAGCAATAAAATCCAGTTTTTAGCGTAAAAACGTACCTCATATCCAGCCAACATTTTGGTGATTCCCTCCTGTTTGACGGCTTTTAGGAACCATTTGACGTACGGGCCGGGGAGGCCGCCGAGCGCGTTGAAGCACAGGGATGTGTCTTCTACCTGTAAAAAATAGCTTATACGTTTTAAAACAGTTGGTGGCTTTTTCGACCTGACGCTACTGAAAATCAGCAGTTTTTAGGCACTAGACTCTTAGCGGGGGGGGGCTACATTTTTTCAATCAATACCATACGACCATACAACGAAAACCAAACCGTTTCCACGCAGTTTTTCGATATAAAAACGCGTCAAAAAACTACAAAAATTTTCGAAAGCTAGTTCCTGGTTATTTGCAAGTTGGTATTAGTCCCCCTCCCCCCTCTATTGCACCAGCACCTTCAAAACTCACCAAAACGGGTCCCTGCACCGCCGCCACCGCATCCAAACACTTCTTCCGGGCGATCGATTCCGGTGTTCCCTGGTACTCGTCCAAGTCGATGTCAATGTTCACGATCTGTAGATTACAAAATTAGAGCAAAACAACACGAAATTTCACCTCAAATTCACATCTATAGCTTACAAAAGCAACAAAAAAGCACGAGAATTACCTCAAATTCAGTCAAAATCTCCTTGACCTCCTTCAGTTTGCCCAGATTGCCGGTGACGAACGAGACGGCGCGTTTTGTCGCCATTTTCTAACGCCTAAAATAGCATAATAATACAGCCAGCAAATTCTTAAAACATAGAACTTTTCAAATCGTTGAAAATACATATAATGATAAAAATTGCTTCGGAAAACCCTTGCAAACTTCAAAAATCACCAAAATTTGACCAATAAAGCTTTATTAATCTCAATAAAAAACGTGTTCCTAACTGACTAGCTCAACTAAAAACGAACGAATGGAAAATGGAGACGACGACGGAGGGTACCTAGAGACGAAAAAGGGGTATTGGCAGCACAAAAACATGATGAAAAAGATAACGAAAGAATGGACCTGTATTTTAAACTACAAACATCAATCGATAGATAAATAGAGAGAGGAGGGGAGGGGAGGTAAATGCTATCGAAGAAGACAAAATAGAATCGAGATGTCTCTGGGGGACAGCTACAAGAAATTGATGCCAGCCCCGAAATGGATGCCTCGCGTCACGGAATCGCCGACCGTGTATTTCAGTGGATGCACGTAGTTCAGCTCGAATCGGAAGATGTTCCTGAAAGAATAATTTAATTACCTCCACTCAAATTTCGCTTACAGTAAGGTTCCGTTTTATTTTTAAGAACAATGGGCTAATTTTGACGAATTAAAAAAAATTTCGAAATCCGCTTTTTCTAGTGACCCATGCCCTTTTCTATTCCTGAAAAGAAAATCTTAATTTTCAATACAGTCCCCTTGGAAATCGGGTTTTCTGAAAAGGCCAAAAAAAAATTAAAATGAACTTTAGCTAAAATGGAAAAATAAAGTATTTTTAACTTGAAAACTTGCCATTTTGAACTTTTCAAATTTCAACGTACGCGAAAAATTCAAAACTTCGACAAACGATCCGGCTAGAATTCAGGATTTTTATAACTTGACAATCGAAAATGGCTGACACAGAAACAGTCTGGATAAACAGAAGCAAAGTTACCAGTTAGAAAACACATTTACAAGCCAAAACCATTTCCTCGAGAATTTAAGAATTTTGAAATTTTGATTAATTTCACGAATTGTTTGGCTATAATCAGAAAAACAGCTTCGAATCGACAATTCCTCACTTGAAAATGAGCGTCAACCCGATGCCGGCGGTGACCCGTTGTGAATTTATCATCTCCCTCATCGCAGATCGTGCCCGAACCGAGGCGAACGAGCCGCCGGCCAGCCACGCGTGCGCGAATCTGCAGCGAAAATTCGTAAAAATCGGTTACCACAAAAACTTACACCATATCCTTGGGGAAGAGCGGTTGGTAGAGGTGAAGCACGCCAGCCGCCGTCGTCCCCGCCCCCAGTGAAGAGTTATTTGATCGTGTCTAAAAAAAGGAAAAATTAAATTCTTAGTTTCTTTTCTTATTTTAAAAATTAATTCTTTCAAACACGCCAATTTTACAAAAAAAACAGACTTTATGAATAGCTGAAAATACATTCAAATAATTTTAAATATTTCTAACCTTCAAAAAAAGTCATTTTTCTGGAAATTAGACGGAATTTTAGCATAGCAAGCATTTTCTAGGACGTTCGAAAATGGACGGAAAGGCTATGCGCTTGGATTTTTTCGTCACGCTTGCTCCACAAACGCACCTTATCAAAAAACAAACAAACTGACCCCCAGCGAATTCAGCCCAAATCCTCGCAAGTCTTGATTTCCGCCCAGGTAGACACGGTCCAGCAGGTGCAGTTCGCGATTTCCGAGTCCGTTTACCGTTTTTAACTAAAACAATGGATCTCTAGCCTCATAAACCTCCCAAGTACCTGCAGTGATAGGCCGAGCACCAGATCTCCAATGAGTTTGGTGGCTCCTTGGAAATCGAGTTGGTTCTTCCAGAAATGGCTATCGCCGAGAGGGCCCGCGTATTCTTGGTTGATCCTAGAAAAAGACTGTCCTGGAAAACGAAAGAAAGAGAGAGAGAGAAAGAGAGAGAGAGAGAGAGAGAAATCGCAAAAACCTATCCTTACCTTGCCAATAATCCCTTGGTCGCCAACAGCGGTCGATCCCTCGTATCATAGGCTATCGCGTTCTCCACGGAGAATTTGACAGTGTGCCCTAAAAATAAATAAATCGATAACAAAACCTTTTAAAATCATACCAGCAAATTCCCGGACGGCAAACGCCGCCTCATCCGTTGCTTCCAAAGTGCGCCAGATCTAAAAATAACATGCACAAAATTATCAAAATCCTACCGTATTTAATTTGACGGTATGCAGCAATCGTTTGTCGAGCAGCTGGCCGTTGTATTGCAGGATGAGGGCGTTTTCGTTGAGATTTGACTAAAACCGAAATTTCGGGACAAAAACCCCGATTTACCTGATTCCACGGCAAATGCGCCATCGACCTGAACGCTGACATCGAGATGTTCGAGTATTTTTGCCAGCCGAGGAACGGCTTCATCAGGGAGAGGCTGAAGCTGTGGTCGCCTAAAAAACATAAAATTAGTTTTGAAACTTGGGAGCTTACCTTTTACGGTATATGCATAAGAAGCATTTGCCGTCTCTCCTCTCCCTAGAAAACTCGCTTTTCCCGCGTTTAGCGACAGATCGGCATCGCCCTGCGTGCTCATCCCGGCTTTCACACCGAGCGTGAAGGGTTTTGGCTCCTAAAATGCTTTTAATTTTCGAAAAAAGTATTTTTGTTTCACCTTGACGACAAAGTTGACAATGTACCGATCGTCACCGGGGGAAATATCGATGAGCGCCGTTGCATTCTCCATCAGGCCTACTTCCTAAAAAACGCCGAATTTCGGTTGTAAAAATCTATAAAATTACCTGCAAATGCCTAGCCGCCAAGTGTGAATTGTGGACGAGCTGATCGAGGTTGGCCGACCGGTACAGCTCCGTGATCTCCTTCACGAGGGCATCGCTTTTCGTCATGCGCACCTGGAAAAGAAGTACAATAATAGGTTTTTTGCAAACAAAAAACCGATACGTCATTTAATTGGCCATTTTCACACTTACAAAGCCTCAAATTGCCGCAAACAACGACAACATTTCGTGGGGGTTTCCTTCCAATCTTGTCAAACCTCCGAAACTGAACGTAATCGCCGACTTTGTCGGATTTCGCCAGCAAAACTGCTTTAACTCCCTCAACTTGCGTTTTTCCACTTTCAAAGGCCGTTTAGGTCAGAAACCATCAGTTAACAAGCCCCATAAAAATCCACCCTTTTCCCGCAATAATCAAAATCCAACAATTTACCCCGTGAAACTGGACGGCATCGACGATTGATGGCGCGTCGGCCGCCTTGTCCTGGATCACATCGGCCCGATGGTAGGTTTTACCCGGTTTTTTCATCTGAAAAACGATCCATTGACATACGTAGGAATTCACGAAAACATACGTTGCCATGAACTAATAATAACGTCTTTTTTAAGCTTCAAATCTTTCGAAAGAAATTTCGTACTACAATATCCAAGCCGCTCCAACGGCTTTCTGCCCAAATCTTGTGTCAAATGACAATTATTTATCGAGCAAAGTTCAAAACGTAAACCCAAAAAGGCAAGAAACTAAATACTGTGCACAAGACTATGGCCCTATGAGCAAAAACGAAAGTATTTTGCTATGCGAAAGTTATCACAATTCAACGGGACGAGCACCTCTATTTACATAAAGCAGTGATCGGGCAGAAACAAAGATAAGACATCAAAATCGTCAAAATCAACAACAAGGGGATTGTACATTCTTGATATCGCCCTTCAGCGTGGTGAATTGGTGCCGGACGACGAAACGGGCTGACTCGTCGGCCAGATCGGATGGGGAATCTTCCTAAAAATATTTTAGAAACTAGAACATTAGATTTTTACCTGAATAGCATGTCCGACTTTCTTCAGCAGCGTCGTCTGGAATTTGCCCTGCATCTGGCCGATCTAAAAAAACGACAAATACGCATTTTTCTCGGCTCTTTTTTGAGAGTTTTAGCAATTTCTGATAAGGCTCACCATCAACTCCTTATCCAATCGATCGGTCCCCGCCAAAAACAGCACTTTTACTTGGGGGCAGCTGAGGAACTTTGAAGATAGACCCTAAAAAGCCTTATTTTTGTAAAAATTGAGATTTTACCGTGAACCAGTCCTGCCAATATGGTGAAGTCTTGCCCAGATCAACGCGCCAGACGAACTAAATAACGTTACAATTCACCTAATTAAGAAAAACCTTGTTATCATCTTCAGACCTCGTGATTTGTGATGGCATACTGACACGAGCTGATTCGGCATTGCGGACAGTTCCGCTTTTATAGCACCGTCGAATGGCTTCCTCTTCGGAGGCGAATGAAGTAGGGCGGGATTGAAGGAAGGCGTCCTGAAAAGATGTTTTCGTTTCCGCTCCAAAAGTACCATCATCGCCAGCGATTCCAACGCGCTTCCCTCGACAACGTCAATCACTCCTAGGGCTTGCGCATTCGGAAGAAGCCCTCGTGATAGCGTGTGAACTGCCAACGCTCCGCCCATACTAAAAGCAAAACCTGTAAAAACTAACGAATCCAAACCTATGTCCAAAAACGAAGATCTGCTCGGGTTCAGCGTCGGCAAAGATTTTGGCGTACAGGTTGGAGATATCCCTGGATCAGAAAATAGACATAAAGGTGTGTAAATTACTTTACTAATCGATCTGTGCTCAAATCCCCGTCATCGGCCGTTCGTGTAGAGCCGTGCCCCCGAAAATCTGGCGCAACGATTCGGCATTCCAGACGCTCGGAGAGTTCCTTCTAAAACCAAAAATTCCCGTTTGATTACCTACAATTTACCGCGAAACAAGCCCACGTCAACCCGGAATAGCCGCCGCCATGAAAGAGGAAGAAAACAGGACCCGTCGTGCCCTTGGAATAGACTCGAAATGTGTCGCCTTCAATCTAAAAAGCTCCAAGTTTTAAATTTAGACACAAAAACCTCTATATCATCGGCGGCGTCAAAAAAATCGCTCCACGGCAACGGCGAGAAGTCGGTGGGGGCTCTGAAAAAGTGGAAAATAAAGAAAAATGTGTTTCAAACGTACGCTTTTGGTTTGGCTTTTGGCGGTGGTAGTGAACTTCCGGTTCGAAGTGCCGATAGTTTGTCCATATTGCTGGAAATAAGGTTTGTTTTCGACGCCTTGTATACAAGTCAACTTGTATTATAATCAAAGAGGAAATCTGGACGGAAAAAATGTACCGTGAAAGGCTAATTTTTAGGAAACTACAGACTCTAATCTTTACACACGGTTCAAAGCATCTATAATTTTGTTATTTTTATTAGCTTGAACGTTCCGATCTTGCATTCAAGTATCGCGACTGGCCCCGGGGACTGCGGTGTAGTTTGTAGCCTCGCACATCGTTCCCCAAACTGCATACCAAAAGCACAGGCAGGTACTATCGGCCGCGGGTGCTCATAAGCACTCTTTTTGTATATATTGCAAATAATTTATATAAAAACTATATAACTAAGTCCTATAAATATGTAGAAGATATTATAGTATATTAAAACGCTTAAATAATATTATAAGACGTTTATTAAGTAGTATTTCTTAATAAATTACGCCGCGGCCGATAGTACCTGCCTGTGCTTTTGGTATGCCGTGTTCCCCAAAAGGTTGCGAAAGCTATTTCCTTGTGCAAGCCATTCGATCGACGTGTGACCTAATTTTTGATCTCTCAAAGCTTCTCTTTATGACGTTAGGTAGAGGTTGTGGCTTTTTCATGACACTGTGAAACCCGTGAATTGCCAATCGGCAATGAAAAAAATCGATAACCTGGGTTGGGTATTATTATATAAGGGGTAGTCAATACGGGTTCGAAGATTAAAGACTCATTATAATGAGCTAAAAAACGATTTTGCTGCGGGAAATGTGCTGTTTTCAACCAGGCAGCCTTTGGGTGGTCATCTAGATGCGACGAGCCGCAAATTCTTGGTGTTGCCTGTAGAACAAGTCTAAGCCCCTGCTGTTTTGTGTTTTTAATAGGCAATCAAGTATGCACCAGAAGCATTTCTGAAGAACTTTGAAGATGTTAGAGAACAGTTGGCTTGTTCCTTGCGAACTTTGTAGCGGGAAATTGACCGCAGCTGTCGTTGCTGTGACACATCAACCATTTTCTAATGCAATGCCTTGCACGAATTTCTGGCTTGGGAGGATGATCTTGCCCCGCAGTAGCATCAAGGCTTCGTGGTAATGTCAGAAATGTGAATTTCTAGCAATCACGAATGGATTTTACTATTTTTGTTATGGATTCGTGGAAACCGTGAAACAGCTCTTTTTATGGCCGTTCAAAGTTTTTGCAAACTAATATGTGCTTCCAGGTATGCCCGTTGAACGAATAACGGCTTGAATCTACTTCTTAAAAATCAAGAAAAAACATCAGAAATGGGTCGAGGCGTCTCCTTCTGGCGACAATTCGGCCTCATCACCCACAAGAACCTCCTGCTGATATGGAGGAACAAGGTGCGGGGATTGCTTGTGCAAGGCATTGTCCAATATTGTCTTCCAGGTATGGACCGTGCTGGAAATCGTGATCCCGCTGCTCCTCTCGTTGCCCATTGTTTGGATGGTGATGCAGGTGATTTGCCAGTTTTAAAGTATGCGTTTTTTGGTTTAGATTAATGAGGCGGGCGTGACGATACCTGGAAAAACTTACCCGGAAATAGAAGTGTCGGGTGGATGGGCTGATTTTGAAAGGTTACCCTTTTTCTTATCTCTGTTCCCCGGGGGAGAAACTTAATGTTTTCTTACAGGCGACGCGTTTTAGTGTTTTCGGGTTTCAAGGTAGAGCCAAGCCTATCTTGTGCAGAATTTTGCGCTGGTTACGATACGAAATTTGCGTAATCGCGATTTTCCGAACGTTGTTAGACGATTTAAGTTGGAAAAACCATAGAAAGCGGCTCATTTCGGACGTGCCTCGGTCTAAGATCGTTGGCAACTGCAGAAAATAGCGCTTCCGCAAATTATCGATTGCCTACTCTGAAAATAAGGTCCAATTTCAGAAGGGCGGGATTTGTCAAACCGATCACCCAGAAGAACTGCCGACGTGATAACTTTCGAGTATTATACAGGTAGAAAGCCTGGGTTTCCGCCATTTTTTTTCTAGCACAAATGCCACCTCAATCCCGCTGGTCGACGAGCTGATGAAGGAATTCTGCGCCCGGTACACGGCCAACAAATTTCGGATGGAATGCCTGAAAGTTGAGAATGTCACGGTAGTCGAAATTCGAAGATTTTACCTGTGTTTTTAAAGCTGATGCACGAAAAGCTGCGCGCGAGTCTGATGTCCGAGCTGAAGTTGGATTGTCTCGTCAATGGGTCAGTGATTAATCTTTTTAGAAGAATTGGAAAGAAAGTGAGGCACATAAGCAGGAAAAACCGCGAAAAACAAAAAAGAAGATCCACGACAATGAATGAAAACGTTAAAAGAGGGCTGAAATGCCATTGAGAAGCTACGAGAAAGGAGAGGGGGCGGGGAAGGCTTATCAATCCCACGGCAGGCTTTTCGTCAGGGACCATAAAAATTGCATAATGCAGAACGATTGATCCCCTTGTTTTTGAAGCGCCTCGAAGTCTGGCTTTCTTTTCTAAGGATTTAGGATTCCGTGGAACAAAAAGAAGCATCGACAGCAAGATAGAAAAATGACAGAAAGACACGTAGAAAAACCAAAATAAGTGTTGGTTTAGGTAACGCTGTTATGAATAAGGGGCGGGGCGGTCAACCAGGACATTTTTGGAATGACATTCATTAGGAAGGAAACGTACCTAAGAAAAAAAATAGATATTGGCACCCACGCATAGGTGCGGCGGTTCGCAGCAAACGAAATGAATTCGGCTTATCACGGACCCCCTCTCTTCCCATGAGCCAAACTGATAACACCCTCCGGAACGGCGCATAAAAATTGCCAAATACGAGGGAAATTTGTGGTTTTTCAAGCAGCAGCCTTGAAACAGTCTTTTGAAGTAGTTTTTCAATTTTCAGAACCTTCGCCGGAATCGAGTTCTCCGAAGCGAATCTCGCCGCCTCGCGTCTGTCCTACAAGCTTTGGCACCCGGATGAGGAAGGAATATCACAGGGCGAGGGCAGCCCGTGGCATCTCAAGAGCAAATGGATAGGCGGAAATCCGTATTATGGAAAGGAATTCTCGCCGGTCAGTTTTCACGCTCTGAAAGTATAAAAACTGAAAAGTACGTTAAAAAATCAGATTTTTCTCTTCAGCTCCCCAACGTGCCGCCCTACTGGTCGTACGGCTACTTGAGCTTCAAGCAGGCGTTGGACGACACGTTTTTGAAGGTTTTAAAAAGTTATATAGCTTGAAAAATTGTTTAGAAAGCCACAAACGGAACGGCCGCGCTCGATAAAGTGTATCTACAGCGTTTCCCCGAACCGCCATTCCAAGAGCGTGGAATACAAGTTGGATACGATGAAAAAAAAGAAATGAAAACGTGTTTTTTAGCAATTCCTCGAGTTCCTTCCGGTCATCTACGCCTTCCTCATCTATCCCACCGTCCTCCACTTGGCGCGGGAGATTTCCGCGGAAATCGATGCCGGCTTGAAGGTAGAATTTCGAAGTTTGACGCCAAATTTAAATTTTTAGGATTTCATGCGCGTGATGGGCCTGAGTTCTTCGGTTTTCTTCTTGACGCACGGCTTCATCGCTTGGGTCAAGGCTGCGGTTATCTTCACGATTTGCGCCTACCCGATTATGACATCACTAGAGGTATTTAGAGCCTTAAAAAGTTCTTTATTATCTTTTCTAGTTCGTCCCCTGGCATTTGGTGCTTGTCGTCGTCTATCTCTACTCGTTTGCCGTCATCGCATTCTCTCTACTATGCTCCTCGCTGCTCAAAACGTCGAATAACGTCTTGAAATGTATGGAAAAATTGGTTCTTTCCTTTTAGCGGGGGGAGTTAATTTTGGCCTATTTTGGTCCTTTTTCATAGCAAAGTTTTTGAAAGTTGTTTTTTTACTTGATTTTTATATCTAAAAACGGTATAACAAGCTATAACATTCCTTTTTTTGTGGTTTGTTTGTGGTATTCAACTTTTGAAAAACCTTATTTTTAGTGGCAATCGTCGCGTGGGTAGTGTCCGTCGGCGCTACATTCATCCGCCGTCCCTCCTTGGACCAATATGTCCATTGCTATTTCTACTCCCTAAATCTCAACCATGCCTTCCGATTGGCCATTGAGATTATGGCAGAGGCTTGTAATAGAGGTAAAATTATCTTACAGATTTTTACGCGGTTTTTTTATTTTCAGAATACCACCTCGGCTGGCCGCAAATCTTCGACACGCCGAAGATAGCGTTCAATCTGTTCGGGGCGATGCTGATGCTTTTGGTAGCTTTTGAAAAACGGGAATTTGACCAATTCGGGGTTAGCGGGCGTAGCCCGCTAACCCCTTTTGGTTTGAGGTACCCCCCCATACGACTCTTTTGGGGTCCTTTTCCGGATTTAAAAAAGAACCACGCATCGGATCGAAAAACTGAATACACCATCGGAACCGGCGACACTTTTTGCATACTATAGGCTTTTAAAAATTGAAAAAGATCGAAATTTCGAATTTTAACAGCCGATTTAAATTGCGTTTCGAGGGGGGGGGGTCTGCGTTTGTATGTTTGTATGTCTGCACGCAAAACCTATGTAGTCGTCAAAAAGTGCCTTCCCATGATCCGTTTGGGCTGAAATTTTTTACAGTTATTGGGTGAATGATAATCTCGGACCGCAAGAAGAGTTTTTTTCAAAATAGGCTTTTAAAAAATTTATATTTAATTTTTAAGTTTAAAAGCTAAATTGCGGCCAAATCAAGGGTTAGTGATGTCCGTTTGGGCTGAAATTTTGCTCAAATAGGCATTAGACCATGCCAGATAAAGTAAAGAAGAAATTACATCGAAAGAATGCTTCTTCTCTGAGATATTATAACTTTAAACCTTCGCCATACGGGGCGCCACCCTCCCCTCTTTGGCGGCCCCAGTCCCGAGCCAGGGCCGGTGGGTCTAGCTTCCCCAAGACAGGCCTCCAGTCTCCCCGTTGGCCTATTGGTTAGCACGCTGTACTGGGAAGTCTTGCCCCACGGGTTCGAACCCCACCCGCAACATCCGTTTTGCCGATTGGCCCCCGTGCATCCTTATGGTTTCTAGTGCCGTTACAAAGCGCCGCAGGCAATTTTTTTTGAAGTTTTGCGTACAAGAGTTCATCTGAATAAGTATTCATTGGCTTATTTTACGATCTTAATAATAAGATTGAGGCAAAAAGGGTTAAATTCTCTCTAAGGCTAAAAAGAGTCTTTTTAAAAGAGGGCTTTTGATTTTCGCAAAAAGAGACGAATTCTCGTGGCAACAAAAAGTGCTAAATTCCTTTCAAACTCTTAAAATGCCACAAAATGTGGGATCAACCAAAAGTTGCTGGCACCTTATTAAAATGGACAGATCCAGTTTCTAGCGGTTTCGGCTTGCAAATAATTTCTGTATTATGATCTATTTACACTTTCTTGAAATTAAACTGTGGACCTGACCTGTGATCTGGGATGGTACCGAGTTTATTAAGATTTTAAATAGCCAGCAATTTTTTGTTGTTCCCGCATTTTGTGGCATTTTAAGAGTTTGAAAGGAATTTAGCACTTTTTGTTGCCACGAGAATTCGTCTCTTTTTGCGAAAATCAAAAGCCCTCTTTTAAAAAGACTCTTTTTAGCCTTAGAGATTTTAGATTGACTTCGTGTGGATGACGGCCGCAGCCTTGATCATTGACGATATCCGCACCAATGAGGAGAGCTATTTCCTGACGATTTTCAAGAAACGACAGGTAAATATTGCTAACACGCCTTGGAATTTTAAAAGCCCATATTTGATCGCGTTTTTTGTAAAATTTAGCCATGTTTTAATCCGGAACCTACAAAGTCCTATAAAACCTACAAAAATGTCTAAAAATTCGAATTTTGGCTGAAAACCCGTCCAATTTCGGTCAGTTTGGTTGGTTTTTTGTAGGTTGTAATAAAATTTGTAATCTACTTACGTTTGGGAAAGTGAGAATCCGGATTTTCGGGCTTTCCCATGCGAGCGCTTTTATTGGCCGGCTCCTCCCATAGCGCATTGTGTGGTGATGACTCTACTGGACGCAATTTTCTTCTGCAACAAATCCTTGTCAATTTTTAGGGCCTTGTTGACGTGAGAAACCCGCACTTTTTGTAACCAGAGTGACTCACTAGCTGCCATCAGTCGGGCCAGATGGTGTATGAAAAGCCGCCCAGCATCCATTTTATAGCGCCGCAAAAATCGGGGCTCTTTTTGAGGGGCGAGGGCAGGCTTTTCAGCGCGAAAAAGAAGGGTTTGAAAAGGAAACGATGCAGAAAGCGAGAAAATTATGAATAAGAGTTAAAAATCGTGAATTATGCGAAAATATTGGTATGAAGCTTTTAGAATGCCGCTAAAACATTATTATAACGATTTTCATTTTTGACAGAAAAAAGTGAAAATCTATAGTGACGCGGGAAAATCAGAATAAATATAAAAAAGGTAAAAATGGTTATTTTCTCCATTTTAACATGGGAGAAACCCGTCGGTTTATCCTCGTAAACCCATAAATTCCAGAATAACACCACGATCGGAAATGGTCGCCGAAACCCAGAATTGGAGGATCAGATCGACTTTGTGCGCCAGGAGTCCGGGGCTGATATTCGAGTCGACGGACTGCGGAAGATGTACCACACCGGAAACTGGGCGCTTGAAGGCATGAATTTGAGGGCGAATCGGGGACAGGTAAAATCATTACATAGAAATGTGATGAATACCAGAAAAAAATATCTTTAGCCGTGAAATTGGCAAAGGAAATTTTTTTTAGATCACGGTCCTTCTTGGTCACAACGGCGCCGGCAAGAGTACCACGTTCAGCATCATTTGCGGCCTCATAGAACCGACGCACGGTAAGCTAGCAGTTTTTTTGCGGAAATTTAGACTAGTTAGAGCCGAAATTCTGCAATTATGCTTCCTTTTTAGGCGAAGTCCACGTGACCGAAAAACCCGTCGGTCTGTGCCCGCAGAAAAATTCGCTCTTCGACAAGCTAACGGTCCGCGAGACGATCTGGTTCTTCCACCAGTTGAAGGGCAGCAATACGGACTACAGACAAGAAACGGATGAATACCTGAAGGCCCTGCATTTCGAGGACAAGGCTGATGATGTCAGTTTTTGGATCTTGTGTACTTGCGGGGGGATTTGCCTCCTGATCCAGATTTTCCTAATTCCGTATTTACTCTAATGTCAATGTTTACTTTCATAGCGCTTTTAGAAAAAATCTCCTACTCTTTCAAGCGAGAAATTTTAGAAAGCTTTGAAAATGTTTGTAAATATGAAATTTGGCCAAAAATCTTCATTTTTTTGATTGATATGTATCGGAAAAATTGTCCCCCCGTTAATGCATAAGAACCAATTAAGACATAAATACAAGAAAAACTTACCTATCTTTTTTAGCTCGTTCAAAATCTGTCCGGCGGCACGAAGCGGAAGTTGTGCGTGGCGGTGGCGATTTGCGGAGAATCACAGGTATTTTTGACGAGATTTTGACAGATCAAACTTTCAATTTTAGGCCGTTCTCCTCGACGAGCCGACAGCTGGAATGGATCCTGGAGCGAGGAGGGACGTCGAGAATCTGTTGCAACACATCAAGCCCCATCGGTAGAACAGCTAATCTGGTGGTGAAGATAGCATTTCCAGAACGATCCTCCTGACGACCCACTACATGGATGAAGCCGAGAGATTAGGAGATTGGATTTACATCATGCAAGCCGGGAAGGACATCATAAATGGATCGCCGGGATACCTGAAAAAGCAATATGGAACCGGCTTCGTGTTGACGCTCGTCTCGGCAGCCGTTGTCGGAGGGAAAGCTGCCGATACTGCCACGCCGGTCACGCCTGAAGATGTGAGTCGAACAGATAGATTACGGTATACGGGGTATCCCAATAAAAAAATGCCCCCTTTAGTGGACCGCAGTGATATCCGATTTTCACGATTTAGATATCTATCGAAATCTCTCGACGAACTCAGGAGATTTCTCCGTTTTTTTTCTAAATTCCCGATGGGATACATTTTGCTAACATTTTTGTGATAATTCTTTCATTTTTCAAATTTTTACATCTTCTCTGGCAGCCCCTGGCCAACTTTTTGAAAGGTATCTGAGAAAACACAGTTTGGTTGGCGATTAAATTGGTTAAATTGGGTTTTTGACAAAAAAAATAGCGGGCCCATGTTGCATGAAAATGCCAAAAAGCAAGCAAAAAATGTCGAAATTGCGAAAATCGGTGTGACTTGCTGGACTCGCCTTTCCAAGAGCTTTCGATAGATACCTAAACCGTAAAAATCGAACGATTCTGCGGCTAGCTAGAGGGGATCTTTTTTGGACACCCTCTACTGTATAACTGCCAATTTTTAGGTGATGGCCCTTGGAGACCGTGTGGTGACGGTTTGTGCGAATGTCATCGGAACATCCGCCTCGACCTTCGCGAGAGGAAAACCGAGAGGAAGACAAATTGAAATCACGATCCCTACCGAATATAAAGAGCTCTTCCCCGAGATGTTTAAATGGTAAAAATTGCCAAGCTGTTTCAGGAAAAACTGATTTTTTAGGGTTGAGAGGGAAATCAACGTGGTGCGCCCGAATCAGGCAGTGCTGCTGAGTTTTGGAGTGTCACTGAACACGCTGGAGCAAATTTTCTTGAAGGTACGCGGCAGAGGTTGTTAGGGGGAATTTGAGGTACTGGACTATTAGCGGGGGAAAGCTTATTATGTTTTTTTCGCCTTCTATACCTGTTGATATGATGTTTTTATAGTGTTTTTGGTGGTTCTTGATTGTTAGAGAGTTATTAAAAAATTGAATTTTACAGTTTGTCCCTTTTTCCATTTTTCATACGTTATTGAGCAAAATTAAAAAAATTTCGATAATTTTTATAATTTTTGGCGGCTTTTTTATATCTAAAAATTGTGTAGAACGCTAAAAAAATGATTTATGTCTCGTGATACTCGGGAAAATCGGCTTTCCCGCCATTATCCCCCCCCCGCTATCAGCCCAGTGTCAAATTTGGTAATTTATTTATTTTTTAGGTCGGTGAACTCGGAGAGAAAGACGCGGCCAAGCAGCAGCCGGCCATTGAGGGCCCAAATGTTACGGAAAACTGGGTCAGGAAAAACCGGAATTTTTTAATCCATATTTTAGACAAATGACACTCTGCGCCGAAAAGCTGGCCCCTGTCTCTGGGCCCACCAATTCCGATATTTGCTGTGGAAACGGTGGCTGTACAGCAAGAGAAATATTTCGCAATTTATCACCCAGGTCGGTTTTTAATTATTATTATAAGTAGATTCTTTCGTCTTATCGGGGAGCGCTTTTTCTTAGGGCTTAGTTAAATAAGGAGTTTTACTATTCCCAAACGTCAAAACTTTACAAACTTTTTAGCAAAAAAATACATAACGATTTTCGACGAGAAATGACCGTTTGCTGACCAAAATGTCGACTTTTCGAATTTTTTGAAATTTTTCGACAGTTTTCTAGTATCATAGTTTTATTTTACTTTAAAAAGACCGTTAACTTACTAGGTAGGCATTTTTAGGCTTATAGCAGTCACAAAAAATTTCTTGAAATTTTATTTTTCAAAGATTTTTATGATTTTACCTTTTAGCAAAATATTGTTTTTAGGTTTTCCTGCCAATCCTCCTGGTGCTGCTGGCCTGGGCGGTGGGCAACAGATTCGCCGATGGGCCGGGAAAAGAGGTAATTTTTACAGCAATTTTTTGGGCGCTTTTGTAGGTAAATTTTCCGTTCTCCGTCATTTTGACGAATCTAAAAATATCGATTTTTTCTTATTCAAATATCTTTTTTTTTGGTTGCTTTTAACGGTAATTTTTGGCGGCAATTTAAATAATTTTTTGTAGGTAAATTATCGATTCTAGGCCGTTTTGACGGCTATAAAAAAGGTTAATTTTTTTCTATGGAATTTTTTGCAGTTCAACCTCGCGAAAGACCTCGATTTGACGGCCGTCTCGCCCATCAAATGCACGATGCAAGCGGATCCGAATCGAACACGACACGAAATTGACGTCTATCAGAATTACCTGAAAACGCATTGCGCTCAATTTCTATGGATAGACGCGAAGACCTCGTTTGACCAGCGGATATTTGATGTAAGATTTTGGGAGTGGAGAATTTGGGTACTGGACTGGTAGCGGGGGGGGCGCTAATTTTGCCCAGCCGCCTGCCTACCCTGTTAATATTAAAAAGCGTATTTGTAGTGTTTTTGTCAGTTTTCAATTGCTAGAAAGTTCCAAAAATCAAACCTAAAAATTCGAAAATTTTGACGTTTTTTGGCCTTTTACACACTTTTTAATAAAAGTCAAAAATTTTCGAGAAATGTTATGAGTTTTGATACCTAAAAACTGTATAAAATAGTGAAAAAATGATCGGTTTCGTTATAGGGCTGCACGACAATTATTTGGAAAAATTTGGTTCCCGGTAAATGCCCCCCGTTAATAGTCTTGTACCATAATTTGGGCTATTATCTTCATAGTTTTTAACGTATCGACTACTGTAGGATTTAAAGCATTCTTTAAAACGCACGATTTCAGGAACCAAAATACCTGCCAGCCCTTGGCGTCGGTGTTCGTCTACTGGCCGACGGGACGAGGGCCATTTTCAACGCTCATGGATATCACACGGCCCCGGCTGCCATGCATCTTGTGGCGAATGCTAGGCTACGGCACTTTACGTCAGTCTCATATCAAGTTCCGGAGCAAAAAGCAAAAAGCAAAAAAATTGTGTTGCCGGGAGTCGAACCATGGCCCTAAACTTGAAAGGCTGATGCACTAGCCACTGAGCCATAGGAATGGGATATACTATATATATAGTAGTGACCAGTTTCGCGTAGTTTTTCTGCCTTTAGAGTGACCGGAACGTGCGAAAATCTACCCCTGCATCAACTAGGTCTCGACAGCTACGCCAGACACCAATCGCGCGTGAAAAAGTCGGATTTTGCTGCTGGTTTAAATTCCGAGGCGCTATAAAATTCACAAAAAACGCGTCATTATGCGTCTCGCGTAGTTGTTTAGACCTAGTCAAACTCGGGGGCCGATTTTTAAACTTCCCGGGCCCTTTAAAAATCGTAAATTTTTGTTTTGGCCAAAAAACTCCTATTTTAGTGGCAAACCCTCAGCCTCGATCCACTCTTCCATCCAAGTCTATGCCCCGCTGAAAGATGCACGTCAACATCAAGCCGATGCCGCGGCCGAGGATCAAGTATTGTGATTTGGTCGTTTTATCCCGATTTTTTAGGTGAAAAACTTCCTGCTGATCCCGGTGTTGATCCTGGCCTTTTCGCTGGTCTCCTCCACCTTTGTCATGTTCCACGTCGAGGAGCGAGCCTCGCATTTTAAACATCAGGTATAGGAATGCTGTAATTTTCATTAGAGGGCCTCCAAGGCTCGCTCGCTAGCCGCTTTCGTGGAGCATCCATCATGCAATCCATAGAGACGATATTTTCATATTTAAAAGATTCCATAGGGATTCATGGCCTAAATAAAAAGCTTCGTGATCCACGGCGCTATGGAAAGACTGGCATGCTTGCAGCGTGTCGCGGCCGCTTCAAAACCCATAGAGTCCATACCCTAAGATCCATGGCGCTGCCTTGATCGGTCCTTTAAAAAGCGCATAACGGCGAAAATCGCAACTTTTCATCTGAATGTGAATTTTGACTCATTGAAAAGACCTAAAATTCCTTTTAGCAACTCCTGACAAAACTCCACCCGTCGCTCTTCTGGGCCTCCTCCATCCTCTACGATGCCGTCATCTTTTTCACCGTCTGCTTGGTGTCGATCGGAATTTTCTGGGCGGCCGGCTGGATGCAGGGAGCACTACAGTAGTAAGCACTATAAAATTATAAAAAAAGCATATAAAAAATTGAAATTTTTGAATTAAATTAAAATTTAAACTTTTTATTTTTGTAAAAATGCAAATATCATTTTTTTAGTGTGTTCCTGCTGTGGTCGCTGTATTTCTGGGCTTGCTGCCCGTTCATCTACTCGGTCTCGTATCTCTTCGAGAGCCCCTCAAAGGCTAGCACTCTGCTCATTCTTTGGCAGGTAAGAGAAATTTGAATTTGACTGGAATACGGTATTTTTTTCCAGCTGATCACCTCGATTTTTGCCCTGATCGTCGAGGCGATACAGTTCGCCATGGCACCCGAGAGTTCCGACTGGACCGGCGTGAGTTTAATTCGAATTTTTACAGCTGACTATTATTTTTTTAATTTATAAATTGACTTGGAAAATTCTTGCAAAGCATTTGTCTGATTTTTACAAAATTTAGATTTTTAATCGGCAAAAATTCGACCGATTCGGTTAGTTCAATTTGTTCAAAAATTACCCCGGTTTTTTTTGTTCGCGCTTTGGGGCTAATTCGAAAGTTTTGTAATTTTGATTAAGCGATTTTTCAGACGTTCCTTGTATTCCTTCTGCCGCCATACGCGATGGGTAATGGAATGAAGGCAATAGCCATGTGGAAGGTGTTCCGCGAACTCCCGCCAGATTTTGCCAGCTTTGGGTCGGGCTGTGACCGGACTGATCTGTGGGCCTGGTGTATGCTGGGTGGGTTTTGGAATTTTTATCGTATTGATTATTAAGATTGACTTTATATGGGTTGATTTTTTTGTATGACAAGCGAGCAAAGAACATTTAGGAAAATCCAATTTTTAGTTTGGGGCCTTTTAAAAATTTTAATTTTGGGTTTTGGGCAGGGTAGCAAGGTTTTTTTTTGGAATAACGCTTTTGGTCGGGTTTTTGAGCCGATTATCGGCCGGCACTCAAAGAACATTTAGGAACCGGAAACGCGTATCTTCATACAAATTTGTTTTCATAAAAATTGCAGAGATTTTTTTCGTTAGAATTCACAGACAGGCAGGTAGGAACATGAAAATCCTAGCTTTTTCTAGCTCCTAGTTTTTAGTTTTATAAATAGCTAGCAGGGCTTTTTTAGGTCGAATTCCCATACAGGCTAGCAGAGACCATTTGGGAAGCTCAGAATTCTTAGGAAGCGCGCGAAAATGTGACACATGAAGTTTTTCACGCTAAAAACGCAATTTTTCAGGCCGCCCGGCCGCGATGATGTTCTTCTTCGGGCTGGCGAGTTGGGTGCTGTTCGTGTGCCTCTCCTCTCGTCATATCAGCCGTGGATTCTCCACCCTTTGGGGCCATATCCCATTCAAGAATGCCCCTCCAAGAATGGATGGAGAAAGAGATGTAGATGTGGAGAATGAGGAGAGATATGTCGCCGAGCCGCTCATTTCCAGGCCTCAGCTTGTCGTAAGTTTTTGTATTTTAATAGTGTATTTAAATTAAAATTTAATTAAATTAATCGATTTCAGGTGCGAAAACTGAAGAAAGTATACGGATGGAACTTTTCGAAGCCGGCGGTCAACGAATTGACATTTGCTGTCGATAAGGGGCAATGCTTCGGATTGTTGGGTACGTTTTCCAGAGGGCAAACAGGCAGGGATTTTTGGAGAGTTTACAGGGGCTGGCTGGCAGGGTTTATTGGGGAATAGAGCATAGAGCATTTTGGGGAATTCCTCATGACGAGCTAGCCGAGATTATTCCGGGAATGAAACTAGATAGGGCAATCTAGCAGGGATCGCTTGGGAATTTCGGGCGGTGATCTGGCAGAGATTTTGAGGAAAGAAAATTGGACCGGATAGTCTAGCAGGGATTCTTTGGGAAATAAAGCAATGTATGGCAGGCTTGCCGTGATTTTTTCGGAACGCAGTAGACTCGCAGAAAATTTTGATGGGGTACTTTAGGAAGGGTTTTTTGAGGAAATTAGATTAGATTGGGCAATCTAGCTGAATTTTTTGAGGAAGCAAAACTGGTCAGGCAGGGCTTTTTATGGAAATAAACCAACACATGGCAGGCTTGCAACGATTCTTTGGGAAAATTCTTAAATCTATTTTTCTCGTTTTCAGGAGTGAACGGAGCCGGAAAAACGACGACCATCGACATCATCACCGGGTTGAGGTATGCGACAAGCGGAAGTATCGAAATTCTCGGAGAGGATGGACCGACTGCGGTGGTAAGTTCTGAATCTGATTTTTAAATTTTCGATTTTTAGCCGATCGGCTACTGTCCACAGTTTGATGCCGTACTCCTCGATTTGACCGGAAGAGAGACGCTCGAGCTGATGGCCTGTTTCCATGGATATAAGGAGCCGGAGAAGATTGCGACTGAGGTGAGATAATTTTTAGTTTTCGGGCATTTTTGCTATAAAAATGTCAACAAAAACTGGTTTTTGCACCAATCTAAGAAATTATCTTTATCATCACGTATTTTTGAGCTTTTCGATGTGGAAAAATATAGAATTTTGTAATCCTTGTCGAAATTACAGTAAAACTGGTCTTCTCGAAAATAAAATAAATTAATTTTGTGCGATTTTTCGATGCAAAAGTCCTGTAAAATAGCCTTTTTCCCTCATTTGCAGTTTAAATTTTTATCCGTTTTTCAGGCTCTGAGCGCCGTGGGAATGCTCGGCCATGGCGACAAACAACTTCGCTACTGTTCTGGCGGGCAGCGGAGGAAGATTTCAGTCGGAATAGCGCTATTGGCCCAGAATACGATTCGAGTTTTGGATGAACCGACAGCTGGCATCGATCCTAAGGTATTTTGTCTTGTAATAAAAATAATGTTGATAATGCAGGCTCGACGCGACATCTGGAAATATCTGAATCTTGGAAATCAGGCAGAGACAGCCCAATTATTGACATCTCATTCGATGGATGAATGTGAAGCATTATGCACCAAAATAGCCATTATAAGTCGAGGGAAAATGACTGCTATTGGAAGTAGTCAACATCTCAAGTCAAAGTGAGTTTTTATCTTCTAAAACGATTTTTTCGTGTTTTTGAATATTTTAAAATCGTTTTTAGATACAGCAGCGGCTATTCGGTGACGGTGGTGTTGGCGGGGAAGAATGTGAAGGAGGCAGCGGCCCTCAATGGCGCGAACAGATCGGAAGAACATCGGAAAGTGGTGGGAAATGTGGATGATGCGATGAAGGAGACATTCCCCGGGGCTATCATGCGAGAAGCCGGCGAATCGTTGACCGTTTCTTGGCAGGTAACCAAATTTTTGTCTTTGATCTTGAAAGGGATGAACACACCTCGAAACAGGGTTTTTTTTTAGTTTCTTTTCTTTTGATATTTCAGCGAAACCAGGACTCGAAACACCCAGAAAAATTAGCTTAATTACAATAAATTGGTTAAAATTAACTAATTTTTAATAATGTTTATTTAGATCCCAGCGACCGCTGCAACCACCTGGTCGTCATTGTGGCAGAAGATGGTCAGTCTGGCGCCACGAGGGAATAATCTCGGTCCGTTTTATAGTGATTAAAATTAAAGTTTTTGAAATTTTATAATTAAAGCCCAGCAGGCAGCTAGCAGAGTTTATTGAGGAAAGCGGAAAGGTTTTCGGGGAAGGTAGACGGGTTTCTTGAGGAACACCGTGGGTTTTTTGCGGAAGGCTGGCTAGCAGAGTTCAGCGAGAAATTACGAATTTAGTAGAGTTTGTGATTGATGAGTGAAAATATTTAGCGTTATTGCCAGGGCAGGCTAGCAGGATTCATTGGGGAAAAGGGATATTTTTAGGGTTTTTGACGAGTTTTCACGCTTTTTTTACCTTAAAATATTCCGATTTTTGCAGAGATCGTGGACTACAGCATCACGCAGTGCAGTCTCGAGGATACGTTTCTCAATCTGTTGGGCAACGAGCAGAGGGCCGACCTGGAGATGGACAGCAGAACGAGAGCAACACCACCAACCCAAGCCGCTTCATCTAACGCATAATTGCCTTCTCATTTCCACCACCAAATATCCCTGCCAAAAAGCATAATGATGAGTTGGCTTTCCTCTCACTACCGGTTCATTCATTTCACTTTGCGGGAAATTGAACGGTTTTTCAAAATTAAAACAATGTATTAATTTTAAAAAAGTCCAAATGTAAAATTTTCGAAAATTTTGAATTTTTTGTCTTGAAAAATGAAGAAAACGTCAAATTCCCCCGTTCGAAAGGCCAATAGAGCTTCCGCCTTGCCCCAATCGCTTCCCGAGTGCCTGTAATATGCATATTAAGCTCGTGCATCTTTGTTTCTCTTTTTTTTTGGTGCAATTTCTCGTCTTCTTTCATGTTAGAGCCTCTCATCTTTGTAAATATCTACTTATCAACCCCCCGATTTACATTCCTCCACTTTGCCTTTTAATAATATTAATTTATTACCCCTCTTTTGGCAGTACTCCCTCTAAAAGCTTTAATTACTTCCCATTTTTGGCCCGGATGCACGAGCTTTCGTTCGTTCTCACTTTTGCATAAATTGTTGCGATTTTTGAGTATTTTTAATGGCATACTAACATTAAAAAAGTACTTTCTCACGGCAATTTACATTTTGTTGAGTTTTTACGGATCTTCTTGAGGCTGACTTCGAAGTTTTTGATAGAGGCCAACGGAAAACAAAGCTGACCTTTACGAGGAATTGGCTAAGATTTTGATGTTGGAATTGGATTTTATTAAATTGAATAAATAACATCAAGTGTTTTTCTGATTTTACAATAGCAATGATTTCACAAAATCCAAGCTGTAAAAATGCATGATGCATAATTTTGAAGCTTTTTGGCCAGGTTGACGGGGCCGCTTGCAGAGAATCCTTGCAGAAATCGGCTCGCCAACGCGTGAAATTCGGAAAATCGAAAATTCGGGGCCTAAACACTCGAAAAGGAAACACCTTTTGGACGGCAGAAAAGAGTCGAATTCAGCGGATTTCTGGGCGGGAAGCTGGCGGAGACAATTTGGAAATAAAGTTAACTTCGGGCCAGCTGGCAGGGAACCTTGAGGAGCTATCACAAAGCTGAAAAGCCCAGCTTCTTCAGCTCCCAGGTTTTAGGCTACGATCCCTTAGTTTTTAGCCCGTAGGATTGACCATTTTTGATTTCTAGCCCCTTTAAAAATGTTTTTTTTTTCAGTTTCATTGTTCCAGAATTGATCACGTACGGATCCAGGACAAACATGAATCTGCCAAGGGCGGAAATCCTATCCTATACAGGGTGTATCAAAAAAAAGTTCCGAAATTTGTCCCCAATTATCTCGAGAAGGGAAAATATTTCACCGTGCGTTACCATGCCAGAATGCTTAAATATGCTGGGTATGAAGATTTAACACAAATTGATTTTTTAGATTTTTGGCGACGTATCAATACAAATGACACCCGAAAACTGTGCGTTCCGGCAAAACTTCGGTTGCATTTTTCTGAATTGTTGGTGGTCGAGCGGTTTCAGTTTTTACAGTGTGGATACATAAGAATTGCCCCTACGCACATCCGAAATTTTGGAATTTTCGAAGGTCTGGTTGGCAAGTTATAGCGCGCTCAAATTTAGTATGGAGAAATTTCGTAAATATCGAATACTAAAAAAACTTATGGCGGGAACCGCAAAATAAGCTGTTTTAGCATGTCTATGGGCTCGATACACTTGCACAAAAACATCAAAGAATTTTTTCAGATTCACGAATTTTTGAGTTTTTCGACGACCCCCTGGTCATGGATTTTTTCGAGGTGACGAAACTGAACTTTGAAAAAATACTCCTAAAGTTCCGAATAGAACCTAGGTGTTTTCTTTCCTTGGTTGTGTAGGACTGGGGTCCATCTATCATGTACACAATTTCTAGCTACCGTACCCCTTTGCAAGGTTGCTTTTTAGCGCCTCCAAAACGGTTGGTTCGTGCTATTTCGCAGACCTTGGTGCCAGTCTATAAAATTCATTTGCGCGGCTAGAATTATTGTCATAATTTTATTGAATTTTACTTAATAGGCGCATTCTATGATTATATTTACAAATTTATTGGGCCATCCGATCTTTCAAAATAAATTCATCAAGAGTCAAAATATTCCCGACTTTGAGGCGACGTAAAAAATTCTCGAGGCTTTAGTAGCCCCGACTTTTCTGGCATAGACCAAGCTTGGGTAATCAACTAGAACCCATGCAAATGCAAAACCTTTTCATGGCTAACGAATTTAGAAGAGCTCGCCAAAGTGAGCTTTTCAAAAACGTTATTTTCGGGTTTTAAATCAAAATTAACCATTAACTTCAGCCAGATCATTCCAGAATTCTGCTTACATACACAGTTCGATACGTGCTTTAATTGTATCCAACAAACCCCGGTGCCTTTTTCATTTTCAAAAATTCGATTTTCAGCCCGGGGCCTCGGGTCCAAAATCGGGGTCCGAGGGGGGTTTTCCTCTTTCCTTCATAACTTTGTCATTTGCCACAGGAATCAAGTAATTTTTTGTAGGTGCTCTTACAATCACCCAAAGAACAGTCTAGAATCGAAAAACCGTCATTTTATGGAATTTTTTCTTGGCATGCTAAAATGCGCTCCAGGCGGGTTACTGTAGAAAACAGAAAATCGCCGTTTTCTCGTTCTTTTCACCATAGAAATGTTTCGATCTTTTGGGAAAACAAATAATATTAGTTTTTGGTCAGATGCATCAAAATTTTTAGACATTTCCGTGGCTAAATTCAAAAATCAGTTTTTTGCATATTTTGGGAAAGTGTATGGCTAGAACTTCGCGATACTTAGCCCATAGGTGACCCTTACTGGTGTTGAATAATGAAAAAATTTTAAGCAAAATCGCAGCTTACAATAAAAAGAAAAACGCGAAAAACGAAAACTACAGTATCCCTCTGGGGCACGTTTTAGCAAGCAATAGAAAAATACCATAGAATCGGGTAAAATTTGGTGTTGTGCTAAAGATTATAATTCGGAGACACCATCTGCAAAAAATCAGCCATGGGCAGCGTATTTGAAGCGAGTTGCGAATTAAAAGGCAAAAAGCTGCAAAATAGTGAAATTTGTTTTCCTTGTTAAAAAAGAAGTAGAGCTTGCAAAATTATAAGACTTGGCCGTTAGCTTTGTACAAATATCAGCAATTTTTAGGCCAAAAATCAGAATTTTCCCACCACCCGTTCAAGAACGCACAATTTTCGGTCGTAATCAGCGTCAATAGTACAGTTGCGTACTCAAAAATCGAAAAAATCAAGTTGTGTTAAATCTTCATACCCAGCATATTGAAGCATTCTGGCATGGCAACGCATGGTGAAATATTTTTCCTTCTCGAGTTATTCAGGGACAAACTTCGGAACTTTTTTTTGATACACCCTGTGCAGCCGATTTCTCGGTCGTCAGTCCGAATTTCCGGCTGATTTTTGGCATGGGGAGGGAGTAATATATCCTCTTTATAACTGTTTTTTGTGTTTCGAAATTCCTTCATTTAACGATTTTACAAGCAAAATAGTGAAAAACCCTTAACATTTTGGTCGAAAAAGGTTTGTACAGAGGATGTCTCGCGATGCAAATGGAATTCAGCACCAATTTTTGGAAGGCGGATTGGAAATAGGATTTCTCCCGATATATAATTTTGCGTTTTGTCAGATTTTGTAAAATGAAGTTTTTATGAGCATTTCTCTAAAAATTACTTAACAAAATGTCCGAATTGCCGTGGTGTCCGGGCCATAACTCGAGACCCAGAGAGAATTTCGGGCTGAGATTTGGAACATATATGCAATCAAGGCTCGGCCTCACGCGCATCTTACTATCTTTATCAATTTCGAGCAGGTTCAGGCTCAAACGTCGAATTTTTTAAAGTGAACAGCGTCCCTCCCTCCCGGGATGATTG